GTGTGTGTGTGTGTGTGTACAAAAGCGCGCCTAATTTTACGATGGCGCTATGCAGCTATTTTATAATTTGTTTATGAATGAATTTATGGTTGACGTAGGCCGTACGCATGCAAAATTCATTATTCCCGCTGTTGCCACAGACCGTATTACAGCAGTCCTCGCATTCACCCGCGATACCCAACACAAGCTCCTCCAGACATGGTTGTCAGTGAAGGTCTACCACCAAAGCTTCTTTCTATGTTTTTCGCAATGAAACAGACGAAACGCTGCCGCACTAATGTCTGCACACGACACACTGGCGGATCTAACGGGAGAGTGCATCAAGGCCATGACCATCGCGTCAAAGCAATGGTACCTGATAGCACGTGAAAAACGCGAAGCAGTTATGCATGAGCATTTTAAAGACAAATTTTATACGTTGTTTTTTCAAGCTTTCCTGTCTCGGAAAACTTCTCATTCATGTGACAAACTACAAACAAACAACAAAATTCGCATGGTAGGCGGGGCTATTACTATCAAAAAGTCATACATTGAGATTATTGCAAATGTTAATTATTTACGAAATGGTTCTGTTAATTTTATCAAATATGCATGCGCATCATGTTCGAGCTATGTCATGTTCGAGATAAGCTAAACTGCTTTAGAGGTTGTAGAAATCTGTAATACAGCAAGAAACATTTTCAATTTGTGTCGTCGTGTTAATTAAATACTATAGAGTAATAAGTCATCCTTCCTATCCGACTAGAAAGTAACATTCAAAGTTGACTGTAATTCATTAGAGACTCGTATCTCTTTGGCAAAAGTAAAATGCATAATCTCTTTTCTATCACACCAGAAAAACCTCCAATCATTTTATATAAACATCAAATTACAATGAGTAGCAACATACAATGAAATACTCGGCATGTAATATATGACTATCGGTAAGCTTAATCGGAGATCAAGAAAAATACTCTACTATTGTGACATGAAATGTCTCTCTATGTACAGACAAAAGACAAAGAAATCGTGCGCTAAATACGTTGTATCTATAATTATTTTTATTGACATCGTCCAATTGGATGGCATAATACGTGTAAACAACGTGCCAAACCGAGGTTACTGATGGTAAACAAATTAATACGTAAAATTATTATTGTTTAAACTTACTTACAAATGTCACGGATTCAGCCAGTTGTTTTACAAGAAAAATATAATGGTTAAACATTGAAACTGGTCCCGCCCGTGACGAAACATTTGTTAGGCTTTTGTTGTCCAAATTTCACCATCTTGTAAAGAAACATCTTGTAACAAAATAATACTTTAAACATCGGAATAATTAGTTTATTTTA